TATGTTCGAGAGCGGAGATGTGTGTCCTTCTGTTGAATTACCTTGATCTGCCATTAGGGAGATGTTTGGTTTGCTGTGAACATTAATTTTGCTAATAATAAGAAAGCACAAAAGCATGTGTTTTAAACATGTCGGAGATGATAATCAACACATACCCTAAATATAGACCCAGGGTTATTAGGTTTCTTTCTTTTAAATGATCGTAGTTTTGTTTACCGGTTCTTTCACTTCCATAAGTACGGTACGGTAATCATTATTCAGTTCCCGGAAATCTCCTTAGATTAACTGAAACACAATAAGAGCAGGATTGGAATTGAACCTAGTACCAAAGGTTAAATATAGATCTCCACGGTTCAATCTGAGCCGACAGTTTGGTGTACAAAACGTTCTTTTGTAGAACCATAAATTATAACGTAAATTTCAACTAAATAACGTTGCTAACGCTGCTGGAATGTTCTTATAACTGTGACAGTCTAATGACAACATTCACAACGTTTGCGAATGTTGTATGTAATAACATTAAGTTTGCTAGGAAGATCCTTCTTTATATGAGAGTGGTGTATCCAGGAATTTGAAACAGAAAAGGAGCCCATGGGGGACTTTCACAGAGTCTAAGACCACCTCAGCCCCACCATGGTCATGGCTGAGGTGGTCTATAATTTGGCATTTTTTCTCCATTAAAAAAAGATAAATGGAGAGAAGTGAGGTGGGGCTCGCCACTGTATGAAGAGTAAATGTAATCACTTCTGAATGTAATGTAATATGTATCATAGGTAAATACAGTTCTACACTTATCATTAAATTGTTGTTGCTATGTAGGCCTAAACGTGTAAACAGGTAGAAACGAAAATATACTAATGGATAAATATGGATGAAAATGGATGAAACGTCTATCAAACGCAATTAATATAAATTTAGTTTAATCGACGTTTGACACCGCACTATCTATATATCTGATAATCATATGCGAATCAATAATTACATGTAAGAAATATCATTTGTCTTGTCCTCTATCTAATGTTTGTAAACAATTTCTATCAGCAATCGTATAAGGCTATGTTTTCACACGGCGGCAGCTAACGGTTAGCAGGATCCGGATTCTGCTAACCGTTAGCTGCCGTGCGTCCATTTGAGAAAATCCCGATCCGGATACCAACAATATGATGATCGAATCACTGGCCAATAAGAAACTGGAAATTGTAAACGCGTACGTAAACTTGCTAACCGATAGCGCTTGCTAATTGTATCCGGATACCGCTAACGGTTTGCGCTAACCGATCGGGCGTTCTCACCACATCTTTATATGTCTGAATTAACGCATGAATGGTTTCATGGACCTTCTCAGGACTTTTTTCCTAACCCACATCTTTATAATCTACTTTTGCTGTGAGTTCCGCTTGAACAATTCCGTGGAGCTTTTGGTTTCTGCGCATGACATGTTTCCAATGGGGGATTTATCTGTTGAGCATAATCTCTGAATAGAGAAGCCCTGGCAGCTAGCTGGCTTTTTTTAAATTTTATTATTATTTTTAGCTTTAAATTGCTGGCAGCTAGCTATTGAAGCCTAGTCTTGCTTATTTTGTATTGTCTGTTTTTGTTCTTGTCCTAAAACAAATAAAAGAAATACATTTTGTGAAAATTTGAATTGTTTCTTTTGTATGTCAAATTATATATATAAAAGAATAAGGTGGTAGTTTTTATATTTGAAAACAAAAACCTGCATACGAAAACGGAAACCAGTATTTCCCCGATGGAGCGGGGGGGGGGGGTGTAAGCGTGGTCAGTCGTCACTAAAGTGGTCCAGGGGAAACAGCTCTTCCCCTCCGAAAATATTACAATTTAGGGGTTTCAAAGGCTTATTTAATCATCCATCCATCACCCTAGTGCATTCCCAGACCTCTGCCTAGGTGGCTCGAACAAAGAAGCTGAAAACACATTTGCCCTGCCATATCCACCCTCCTACTAAAAACTGATACACAGAATATCATCCAATGTCGTTTTATATTAACGCTTATTAAAAACCTCCATCGGTATTTTTATAGTGGTTTTTTTTCAGTGGAAAGAGAATTTTTACATTGTTCTGCAAAACTCTTGTATCTAGTCTGTAAGCTAATTATAAACCGTCTAATTTAAGAAGTGAACAAGAAATGGTATTTAAATTAAATTATTTAAAAGAATACAAATGTCAGATTGTTTTGTTCCAAATTTACAATTACTCTAGGCTGTATTGATTCTTATTTAATCATTTCTGTCATTTCTTTGACCAGCCATCATCAGGCCCATATCTACCGAATTCCCCATTACAATTACAACCGGTATTACCGTTTCATCATCGTCCCTACTGACACTTTTCACACTAAACGATCAGATGTTCCCTCAGTTTAGAATGGTTGTGTACCGCAGTTATTGCTTTTTAATAAAACATTTCTCGGTAGCCAGACATTCTTAATTTCCTGATTTGTATTACAATCATATTTTAATTGGATTCCTTCTTTTTAGATTGTCAATCGGATTCGAGCATTTATAACGAAGCCAGGAATACATTGTCGTTTTTTAAAACGACGGCGGATCCACCATTTTTCAAACAGGGCACAGCAGTTTCAGAAGAGTGAGTAGCACATAATATTGTTATGCATTTTACAAATTTAGCGTCAAATCGAAGGTGGGGAGGGGGGTGGGGTGGGATGTTTCCTTTACGGTGCCCCTACTGGATCCGTCCCTGCCTAGCAACTGCATGAACTATGTGAATTAGGCCTAAATCATTTGTATTATTTAGTGCTAATTGATTGGCGTCGAGAGCCAGTAAGGGCCCCGGGGCAACACCTCACATCCCCCCTTCACTTGGGATCCCCACTCGGCCGCTCCCAAAATTAAGTCTCCTCTAAGACGCTATTTGTCCAAATCCACATAGGCCTAGATGAATATGATTCCATGTGATTATTTGTTTGAAATGCAGATGTATCAGAATAATCTGATAATAAACGATAATAATTATATATACACGATACATACCACTTTGCATGCAGTGGGAGGTACATATAAAATCAATAATAAAGATTAAGATCAGTATCATATTTTATTTCACTTACCTTCAGAGGAATTTACAAGAAATCACAAGTAATCACTATCAGGCCTACTCAGATAACGGAGCTTTGCTACACAATGTAAGATACAGAGGTCTGTATTTAGCTAATGTCCCATTCCCCCTTTCAATTTTTTTTCTGCTTCGTTTATCACCAATTATCTGTTCCTTTCATCGTGTTTATGCTTGTTTTCTTACCTAAACAACATGTACATGTGTACGTGCCTTATCACTGGGCCGGTGTCACGGTAGTCACGGTTCTGGCTTTACTGATCCTGATCGACTAAACAGGTGCCCGCTGGTGGCACAAAAAATGACCTGGGTCAAGTTCTATGGGGAGCCGGCACGGACCCCCGAGGGCGTCCCTAGGACCGGTCCCTTGATATGGCATGTGCATTATCCATCAAGCCTGTAGTATATCTAAAACCTTGTACAAGCAGTCAGTAACTTCGGAACCAACAACATCAGGTTCCCAATAAAATATTTCAAATAATATCTTCTTTATTAGGTAACCTGGGAACATAAAATCACCGATAGATTTTATAACAAATATTGATAAATTACATTTAACCAGCAGCCCTTCTCCGCTGCAGATTCCCGACCACAAAGAAAGTCTCTATGCAGGAAATGGCATCCCCCCAACCCCCTGGATCTGTGATGACCACAGACAGAGACTTCATGACGGTGAAGCACCTGGATTGAGGGGGGGGGGGGGCATCTGGTTTGGAACGGGAGAGCATTGGGTGGACTATTCCCCTGGGGGGAATTATTCATCTAGTAATAAAAATACAGAAAGACTGAGAAACACGCCCATAAAACCATAATGTAAACCACAACAAAAGGTTTCATTTTGGCTTGGGCTCGGGCCCTATGGAGATTTTGTTCTTACACCGAAAATTGTTCATCTTGGTCCGGGCCCCCCAATAGACCCGGACCTCAGGGCAGCGACCTCCCTGAACCCCCCCCCCCCCCCCCCCCCCCTCTCTCTCTCTCTCTCTCTCTCTCTCTCTCTCTCTCTCTCTCGACGCCACTGCTAATTGATCTGTGTTAATCTATTTTTTGGGGGTGGAGGTTATGTTTTTCTCTGTATGTTCTTATATTGTGAACGCACCGATCTTTATTGAGTGATTTAATGGTGAAGTCCTAGGCCTATGTTCAGATTAATTTAGAAATACAGTATTAGTATTATTATTTACCAGCGCTTAGGCCTACCAATAATGTATAGGCCTATAATAGTAGTTCATTAGACGTCAATTACCGCCCTCACTGAAGTACTTCGCTATCAAAGCAATGCACGTCCTGTAGTACTCGACGCATACATGCGTAACTTCAATTAAGGTCACGTGATTGATAATGCTGCAGCGATTAGATGTTTAAGATTTCAAGTCAGTTCATTACAGATCTATCATGGAATTGGTAAGTATTGCTGTCCTTGAACTTGCTTATCATGTTCAATATTGTTTAGCTCGTTTAAGTAAAGCCGGGCGCGCATTGCCCCCGACGGTCGCCGGCCGACGCGATTCTATGGAGAAAGCAACGCAACGTAAAGGCCAACTCAGACAGCGTCGGCCGACGCAGCCCGACGCGATTTGTTGTCGCGTCGGGTCTGTGTGAGTTGAACGCAGACGCGATGGTGTGCGTCGGGGGCAGTCGCGTAGTAGAATATTAAACGTGTTTAATATTTCTCACGACGGCTTAAGACTGTCCCCGACAATAAATCGGGTCGGGCTGCGTCGCCCGACGCTGTCTTGAGTTGGCCTTAACTTGCGCAACGGATTGCTTTTAAGCTTGGTTTCCATACAATCGCTACACTGTCCCTACAGCGTTTTCACTGCGTCGACACCTTGGACTGCGACGCAATCGGGAACGCTCCCTCATTCAACTGACCGACTATCACCATGACTATAATGGCTGGACCACCTGCAAAACTTGTTAAAAATTTATTTCTTATCTTCTTAATTTATATAGAGTATATATATATATGTATATATATATTTATATATATATGTATATATGTATATATGTATATATAATAATAGTGTAGTTTTATATAGCGCACAGATCCATCTAATGTAAGATGCTCAGGGCGCTTGAAATGTGGACTAGGAACTCCATCAATGACTTTCTTCGCCCCTAAGGGTCCCTTCGTGTCTGTGCTACACGGTAACCCGGTACCAGCAACTCTCGTCGTCCACCACAG